CCTGCCGGCCCAGCCCAGCCGGATGCTGCAGAGCGCCGTCTCCCGCGGGCCTGGGCAGGAGCCGGGCCCCGCGATGCCCACGTGCCTCTCCCGCCGTCGAGGCCTCACGCGGAGCCATACTAACCACGGGCGCCATGGCGGCTGCGGAGGCAGAAAGGGAGGTCTGCGAACTACGCAGACGCAAAGAGGCCGCCGTACGCAGGACACGCAGCGTCCAGGCGGCACTGATCGCTCTGCCACGCCCCTCGATCGCCACCATCTCTCTCGGTTCCGTACGATCGGGGAGCGATTGGTTTTCCCTGAATGCAAATCCCGTTCTCTCCCAGGCCGGGCGGCCTGTTCCACTACGATAGACCCGAGGGGGGGAGCCAGACTGGACGAGTCCAAAGAGAAATAAAGCGATTGGCTCAACTTTGGAATGTCTGGGAAGGAAAAGAAAAATAAGGAAATTCACTAAACCGTAAATTATCAGCTAGTGGGATGGGAATCGGACTTATTAACTCCGGGAGGTGGGGAAATCCCTTCTGGCCGTGGGGAAATTTAGGCGATCAGAGGTCCCCATGGGACTACTGTGGCTTCCTCCTACCTAAGAAGCCCAGCTGGGAAGCTCGTGCCGCGGGGCTGTGTCCCTCTGCGCCAGGCCTCCCTGCTGCAGTCAGGTGCGCCCTCCAGTGGGACCTCTCCACAGTCTCGGATTCAAGCCGCCCACCCTCTGATCACCCCCTCCTGTCCAGCTCAAGCCTGCCAGTTTCCCAGTTCCAAAAAGTCTTCAGCCGGTGCTTCTCAGATGGGTATGTAGGTAGGAACCACAGGAGGTCTGGGTGAAATGCAGATTCCAATTCAGCGGGTTTCATTGGCCTGAGACTCTGCATATCTCGGAAGCTCCCAGTCGATCCTGATACTGCTGGTTCCGGGACCCAACACGGAGTAGCAAGGGTCTTCATCCCCCGGCCTTCTGCATTTCAGTGACACAGAGCGGTGTATTACTCTGGGAGTGGTGGCTGCTTCCTGCAGTCGCTGTTGTTTTTATTTTACTCCTTCAGTTACCCAGTTGACAAGTTTTTATACCTTGTTAACAATCTTTTATATATTAAATTCTCTCTGTTAAAAATTAGTGTGCTGTCTCCTGATTGGACCCTGGCTGATAGACTCCCAGCCCTAAGGGAGCGCTCAGGGCTGCTTACAGTCCTAAAACCCTCTCCTAAGTGACTTCCAGTTGGAATGCCAGCCCCTCCTCCCCAAACCTCCCTCTCAGGTGATAATTTCCTTTACTCTTTCTTTGAAAACATAGAAGCAATCCAAACAGAATTCTCAGCCACTCTTGCCTCCACACCTAACCATCCAGCAGCATCTATACCCCCAGGCTCTGCCTTTCCTGTTGTTATTATGGAAGAAGTGTCCTTGCTCCCACCTGAGGCCAACCCCTATGTGAGGACATCACTACCCTCCCATGAAATCAGTTTATTCTTCCCTCTGGTTCATTCCCATAAACATCTAACCATTCTTTTATGTCTCCTCTCTTAAGAGAGAAAAAGCCACCCCACTGGCTGCTCCTGCTTCATCTCCTTGTTTGAGTCCTCATCTCTGGATTTGAAATACTGCAGGGTGTGGAGTATACTTACATTTATAAAGCAAATGTATTTCACAGGGCCTAGTTTCCAAAGCCCTATAGTTTCAGGTTTAACCTAACTTTTTAAAATTACATATGGAAATGTCAAGCTTGCAAAAGACAGGAAACTTTCCCCAGGCTAAAGTCTCTGTTGTAGATAAAGAATCGTTACACAGCAAAATTGCTGGCTCAAGGACAGATGCCCTTAGAGCAGGTTAACCTAAATTTACTTTATTGTTATGTAAACATACTGAGGAAACTGCTGTAGGAAAAGACAGTATTTGCTAAGAACAAGCTTTCGTTGGTGGATTGACTTAACCTTTTGCAAATTGCATTGTGGAATGTCACTTGGTTATTTCACTGATGTTACCAGCCTCTATTGTTAAACTATACTTAGCCATAATTCCACCTATGTTCTTTTTCTGTAACTTTCTGGCCTGGAGAATAAATACTGGGAAAGAACCCCAGTCTGGTGTTAATTTCCCGAGGAGGAATGTCTCTCTCTTGAGGGTTCGTGGAAAATTAATCCCTTCAGGGTTTCTCACTGCTCAGAGGAAATGGGCTTTGAGTAATCCTTTGCATCTCCGTCACCTAGGAGAAGAGAGGTGACAAAGAGAGTGCAACAGCAGGGCACAAAGCTCCTCTCATCTTTATCTATACTTGACTGTCAGACATGACCCAGATTCTTGCATTTAGATATGACTCCCCAAGTCTAGGTGTGCAGCTGTTACCCCTCCCTGGACCCCTGACTTGTACAGCCAAAGGCTTCTTTGACATCTCTGGTCTGGAGTGTCCAGTAGACCACCTTCGCCCCCATGAGCCCACTGTCACCTCTCCTCTATTTCTGCCACCCTCCATCCTCAGCCCCATCCCCATCCTCAACCTCACTCCCAGCCCCCTCCCCACTCTGAGTCCTTCGTCTCCATTCACATTGGTCTTCTTTTCTTTTTTCTAAATTGCTTCCAACTTCTGAGACTTTGCACTTGCTATTCCCTCTGCTTGGAACTTTTCCTGGCTTTTCCTCACTTCTTCTGATCCTCCGGGAGTCTCAAGCTCAGTGCC